CAAATATATTCTCTAATTGGATTCTTTTATAATTTCGGGTGTGTTTGATGTTGTTTTGAAATATATTTGAAATAAATTATTAATTTGAAATTTTATTTAAATAATACTTTCAATATGATATTTTACAATTTTTTTTGTAGTTTTATAAAAAAAAAAAAAACAAAATATGCAGAGTAAAAATATTATATTTCAGTTTGATATAACAAAAAAAAATTCCTTACAATTAAGCAAGTTTATGTTGTATCTTAAATTATTTTGAATTAAAAAATAAATAAATCTTGAATAAAAATATTTTTTGACTATCTTATTTTCAGCAAGAATTTTTATTATTATTTTTTTAATTATAATTTTAAAAATGAAATAAAACAACTCCTTTATTGGGCCAATAATGGGCTACACTCTCCATTTTACATGGACTTCTCTACAGCCCATTATCAATCAATATTCTGTACATTTTGGTGATTATCTATGGGGACAAAAAATGTAAATTGTTCCTTAAATTATTTTTTTCCCTATATATATATTTTTAATATAATCTCTCAATTTTGATAGACAAAAATCAACGGAAAAATCTCATATTATAATATATATTTATATAATTATTATTTTAAAAAAATGTGCAATGAGTTATTAATTTTTTTTTTATTTAACCTAGAGCTATTAACGATCTGAGCCGAGCCAAATTTTAAGTGTTCGTTAACGTTCGCGAACAAATCTCGTGTTCGTTTGTTAAGCTTTCGAGCTCGTTTGTAGTGTTCGAGCTCAGCTCGTTAAAAATTTTTGTTGTTTGAATTCGTGTTCGTGTTCAGCTCGTTTAAGCTAGATTAAGCTCGTTCGAGTTCGTTTGTCTTATTTTTTGAAATTTATATATAAATTATAAACAAAATTTAAAATTATTTTATTTTTATATTTTAAATTAATATTTTATTTATTTATAAATTATAATTTTATAGTATATATAATATATATAATAAATATATTATTTAAATGAATGTTCGCGAACAAAGTTCGGACTGTTCATTAACCAAACGAGCCTATTTATGTTGTTCGGTTCGACTCGTTAACGTTCGCGAACGAGCTTTAATCGAGCCGAGTTCACGAACGACTCGGTTCGTTTAACAGCTCTAATCTAATGCATAAAGGTATCTTTAGTTGAAAACTATGGCAATCTTCTTCTTTTTTGGATAACGTGGGAACCTGCAGCCGCTACCCGAAAGAGCGCACTGGATAAACTCCCGACCGAACCTAATACCCTGCAAAACAAGCCCAACGAAAAAATCACACTAGATTGCACTCTTCTTTTTAATTGTATTTTTCCTATACAATGTTTGTTACAAAAATTAAATAAAACTATTATTTAAAATACAAAACCAAATAAATAAAAATAAACCCTACACATTTGTATAACATGGCACCGCATAGTGCTTGAGAGTTGAAACCTGCTACGTACAACACATGGAAGCACGCGACAAAATCATTTTAATTCAAAGCCCTATTTATGGTATAAAGGTACAACTTTCCTTTTCGTGCAATCAAACAGGCACTATTTTGTTTGGTTATGTTCTTTACCTTTTTTTTTTTTTTTTTTTTTTTAACTGTATACTTTTATCATTTTAATAAAATTAGGGAATTTTTTAAGTTAAATTTTTATTTAAATAATCTTTATTTGATATTTTATTAAAAAACATATACTCCTTCCGTCCCAATACAATAGTCTTATTTACTATTTTTGTCCGTCCCAAAATAATAGTATTATTTTCATAAATAACTGTATCACCATAAAATTATTCATATTTTTTCATAATTATTACACAATTGACACCATTTTTTACACTAATATACTCACAAGGGCACACAAGACATTTATCTTTACTTTTTACCAACTACCAATATAATATCAATATTCCTTAAATCTCGTGTCCAACACAATAAGGGTGTGTTTGTTTGGGGGTTTGGATTTTGAGTTGGGATTTGAATAAAAAAAAATTTAAATTTGAATAGTTGTATTATGTGATATAGATAGGTGTTGATGTGATATTTTGAATGTAAAATTGATTTTTAGTATAATATAAAAAATAAAAAATAGGTGTTTGATTTGATATTTTTTAGGGGAAAAAATGTGATAAATAGTGTAAATCCAATCCAATCCCCCAAACAAACACACCCTAAGACTATATTTTTTTGGACGGAGGGAGTATACATTTTAAAGTATGTAAAATATAATTAGTAAAATATTTGAAGAAAAGAAATTTCAATAAAATAGACACATACTTGCTTACATACAAAACATAATACTCAATTCGTTTCAAAACAATAATCTCATTTTACAATTTTCGTCTATTTCAAAACAATTGTCTCATTTCCATTTATAGTAATCAACCTCTCACTTTTTACAAACCTATTTTCATTTTTTATATAATAATTATATAAAGTATGAGTATTTTGGTCTTTTAACAATACTTTTACACCAATTATCAATATAATAATATTATTTTTTAATTCTCGTGTTCATTCCAAATATCTCTATTATTTTGAAACAAAAGGAGCATAACAATTGTTTTTTATCTAAAAAAATAATCATAATTAAAACCTATTGGTATTTTATATTGTTACTTTTAGTTTGAAATGTTTTTATATTCATTATGATATATATATATATATACAGGTATTATAAAAAATAATGGATTTGTATGTTCATAAGTTTCTTCCTAATGCGATTTTTAATATATATTTTATTTTTTAATTAAAAATTAATATTTAATATAAAATATTATTTTTATATTATGAATATGATTCTTTATGCATTATATAAAAATAAATTCAAATAAAAATACTAAACAAATAAATTCAAATTTTTTATATTTAATTATTAGTAATTTTTTTAAATAAATAGAATAAATATTATAATAAGTAAAACAAAGTGTGTTGATATTTTTTTAAGTGAATAGAATATGTTTTATGTATTTTTTAATAATATTTTATAGAGAATTTAATCACAAAAAATTTTGGATCAACATATTTATTATATTTTTATTTTTATTTTTATATTATTTATCAAAAAATTTATATATAAAGAACATTGAGCGTTGTATTCGATTAAAAAAATCCGATACACTTTTACAACTAACATAAAAAAATATCTTAAATTTTTTTTTTAAAAAAAAATTATATAAAAAAAAATTATATATATATATATACTTTTTAATTCAATTTATTACTACTATCTTCAAAAAATCAAAATTTTATCCCTCCAAAATTAATAAACAAAATGGTCTTTAAAAGTTAATATATTACTCATATTAATTGTATTTAAACTACATATGCAGTTCTTTTATGCATTTTAAATTGTATCTATAGAAATACCAACACAATTTTCAACTTATTTTATTATTTACATTTTAATAAATAATAATCAATTTACTATTATTTTTTATATTCATTCAGTTATTATTTTCTTTGATCAATTTTAATAAATTTTTACAATATATTATCTTTGTATGTTAATTTTATTTTAAAATATTTTTTCCTATGTCACAATTCAATATATATATTTTTAATATATTTAAAAATAATACTCCCTCCGTCCCATAAAAAAATATCAATTTTTCCATTCTAGTTCGTCTCATAACAAAATATTTATTTTTTTTAATTTTTAAGTAACTATACTATTACCTAACATTACAAATACCCTTACAACTTACAATATATTACACAAATACTATTACCTTTATATCACACATATTATTTTAGTCATTTATACTTTATTCTTACTATATCCCAATATAATACTAATATTTATAAAACTACGTGCAAAAAACAAATGAATATTTAGTTCCGAGACGGAGGGAGTAATATATTTTTTTTCACGTTGCTGTTTCTGTTCGTTCCACATCTTATGTCACTTTTATTTTTTTAAAAATAATTACGCATCTTAATTTTATTTTAAATTATTTTTAATTAAACTAATTAGTTATCTTAATCTTAATTTATAATAATTTATATAATGTCTACAGTAGAAAGTATTAGTTAATAAAAATATATAAAATGACTTTTGATATTTTTTTATTAAAAAAATCAAAGTAATAAATATTTTTATAAAACGAGTAGCATTTTAATATTTAGATATAATTTTTTTGTTATATTAAAAAAAATATTTTGAATAAGATGAACAAAAATTGTAAAACCATACATTTTTTTGAATTATTAGAAAGAAATACTTTTTTATATAAAGTATAAATAATTGTATAAATAATATAAAAATAATAAATATTTGTAATATATCAATTTTTTTTTTTTTATAAAAAATGTATTTTTAAAGAATTGTGAAAATACACATTGAATGAAAAAAATGTAGTTTTTTTAATTATCATTACATAAATATTTGAAATGAAGGAATTAAGGGTGTGTTTGTTTGGGGGATTGGATTGGATTTACACTATTCATCCAATTTTTTTTTTCCAAAAAATATCAAATCAAACACTTATTTTTCATTTTTTATATTATACTAAAAATCAATTTTACATTCAAAACATCGCATCAACACCTATTTATATTACATCATACAATTATTCAAATTCAAAATTTTTAGTATTTAAATCTCAACTCAAAATCCAAACCCCAAACAAACACACCCTAAATAATTTTGTATTATTTCAAAATATATAAAAAAACTCAACTAGCAAACAAACAAAAAAATCCACGCTAATATATTTCTTATCATAATTTTGAAATAAGAATATAATAATATTTGAAAATTGACCGCAACGTTGAAATTCAAATAACAACATAAAAAATAAAATAATTCAAATAATTGCAAATATGCGGTGGGTGCAGAACCGGCGTGGGATCTGGGCTTTCGAAAGCGTCATAGGCGCGGGCCCCACAATTGAACGGTGGAGATGCATCGGGAGTCGAAGTCCTAGGATCTTCTAATGAAGCAGAGACCCATTTCAAAGTTAAAATAGTGAAAAAGGTGTGGGCTTCTTCTCCCTTACTTTAGTTCAAAAGCTCAACAAGATTTTCCATCTCATCTCCACTTTTGTCTTTATCCTCCGCCCTCTCTTCCCACGCTTCCCAATCTCTCACTCTCTCTCCTCCCCACCCACAGTTTCGCGAGCCCGCATTTCAAATCTAGGGTTTTTATGTGGCGTGCAGGTGAGCTGCTGTTGAAATTTGGGCGGAGAGTTTGCGGTGGTTGGGCGGCAGCTGGGGAGATTTTGCATTTTCGGTGAGTGTATTTTTTTGAAAATATTGAACATTGCTATGCCAATTTGGATTTGAATTTCGTTTGAGCAGCTTTTGGTGTCGGTTGAGGCTTGTGATTGTTATATTTTTGGTGAATTTTTTGTTAGAATTGTGTATTTTGTTGCTGTGGTTGGGGGGAAAAACCTGTGTTAAACCCTAGTTGAGGTTGTTCGTGTTAATCGTGTTGGTTTCTGTAATTTAAATCGTGTTTTTGTGGTGAATCCGTGTTGGTTTTGGATTTTTTAGGTTTGTGCGGCGGTTGCGTCGGTGAATCTGCTCCAGATTTGCGAATTTTGGGGGAATTTCTTTTCGGATCTTTGGCGGTGTTCGTTAGAAAATAAATGAATGGATGGGAGGGAAGGGATGGCATTACAAGGCTCGGCTGCGTATTATCTGAATAGAGGAGGGGGTATTGGTGGCTCCGGCGGTTCTGGTGGCGGCTCTGCGGCGGGGCAGCCTGGTGGTGTTCATACGCCGCCAGGTTTCAAGAATTTTGCTAATCCTGGAATTCCAGTGCATCATTCCAATGTAGGGATGAGCGGAGGTTCCGTGGGTGGTTCGCCATTCCACGTTGAGAATCCGTCGCCTGGTTTTCCTCATGGATTGAACATGTCTGGCGGAGCAGGAATCTCAGCTGCATCTCAAGGTCAAGGGGGTGAGATTGTGAAGAAGAAGAGGGGTAGGCCTAGGAAATACGGTCCCGATGGGGCTAACATGTCTCTCGGACTGTCCCCGTCGCCGATGCCGGCCTCCACGCCGTCATCGTCTGGGAATGTTGGTACTGGGGAGAAGCGGCGAGGGAGGCCGCCGGGGACTGGTTGGAAGCAGAAGCTTGCGCCTCTAGGTAAATTTTCTTGTGGTGGATGACTGTCTCGAGGGTTGTTCTTCGTTATGATTGAGATTTTTTTTTTTTCTTTTTGCGTAGTTAATAAATGCTGAGAAAGTTTGTTAGAACGATGTGATGGGTAAATTGCTTGAATAGCGAAATGTGGCAGTGATGGAAAATAGCTTTTTTCACCTTCTCGAAAAGGATTAAAATTAAGTTGGATTTAATTGAGCTTAAATTGCCTTCTCGTAGAAGGATTAAAATTAAGGATAATTTAATTGAGCTTAGATATACTTTTTACTTATTCTTTGATAATTAAATGTGATATGTATGCTTGAGGTTTTAGATAGCTAGTGACCTTAGAACTCATCCACGATAAATTTACTGAATTCGTAGATGCTGGATGTAATTCTGTAAATAACTCCTCGGATTTTGCATAAATGGACGAAAACCATAGTCGAAATGGATTGCTATTGTTTTTGTAAAATAAATAGTTCATTATTCTCTGCTGACAGTGTTCCAAAATCAAAATAAAGGACGAAAATTCCAAGTAGTTGTTTTTTGTTGCGGCCATCTTATGTCCATCTTAGATCAAATCCTCTTCTCGTTTGTTTAAATTTTTCACTAGGTACTTGAAATGTTTTCTTTAATCAGGTGAATGGATGAACAGCTCTGCTGGGCTTGCATTTACACCTCATGTCTTGCTCGTAGAAAGCGGAGAGGTACGTTTTGTGTTCCCATAATACCTAGTATCAATCATCTGCAACTTTTAGCAGTTTTATGCCCTAAATTCTTTTTGATCCCGTATTTATAAAATTACGTGCACAATCTCTAAATACAATACAAGGCACATGTTTCTTTTAGCAACACCCTCGGCTCAATTGAAATTATTTTGGATGCTATATGATGAAAAGTCATGAATTTTAGTACGCATAAATACTAGATTTCTAATGACTCCCAACTATGAGATTTAGATGTAAGCTTTTTCTCTGCATGTTAATATACTTTTACATTGTGAAAATTATGGGTTGCTATTTTCAGGATGTTGCGGCAAAAATATTAGCCTTTGCACAGCAAAGGCCGAGAGCTCTATGCATCTTGTCGGGAAATGGGTCAGTTTCTGCATTGACACTCCGCCAGCCTACATCTTCTGGCAGCAATATAACTTATGAGGTCAAGCCACTTCTTTTACTTACTCAGTTACAGTTTCTTCATTTGATGATTGTGTTACTTTCAATTTTCGACCCATAGAAACCTGTTTTTTACCACACAATGTTAAATTGTTCAGCAGGTGTATCTGTTATCTTGGTTTACGATTTTTTTAAATGTAATCGGCGCTTTTCTTGATAGGTGTGTTTGTGGCAAAAGTTGGAATTTGTCGATTGTTTTCTTGGGTTATGTTTCTTCTTGGATATTATAACCTCTCTCTCCCTCCCTCTCTCCCTATATATATATATATATATATATATTTTTTGAATGGTTTGCAATTTGCAAAAAAAGTTATTGACTCCTATTATAGGCCTTATAAAAAATGTCAATTTAATTTACTTAAATCTTAATGCATTTGTTTGATTTCTGTGTTTCATTGCGATTCATAATTCAGTTTTATTATAGTGATAATTCCAAAGAACTGATCACTTTTTTTCTTCTTTTTTTTTCCTGTCTAGTTTGTAATGTTTAAACTTAAATTATATTTCTCTCTGTTCAGCTCACCACATGCTAATTTAATTCACTTAAATCTTAATGCATTGTTTGATTTATCTGTGCTTCGTTGTGACTCATAATTCAGTTTTGTTATGTGATAATTCCAAAGTACTGATGAACATTTTTCCCCCCACCTAGTCTGTAATGTTCAAACTTAAATTATATTTCTCTCTAAATTCTTTATGCTATTTATTTCGTTATTTGTTGATTAATAAAAACAAATCATCAATTGGAACCCCCTATATTAAGAAAAGAAATGGCATTATGAGTCTCTGTATTAGATACAGATCAAATCGGCTTTTAAGTCCAGCAGATTATTTGATTGCTCATAATATTTTTTTAACACTTGTTTCTCTTTCCCCTTATTTCGATGCTGTTTGTGCACCGTCTTGTTTCGTATGCGCTAACTTTGCAACTTGTTGAAGGGAAAACTCATAATCGCACATTCTACTGTTATATTCAGGGCCGTTTTGAGATACTATGCTTATCGGGATCTTACTTGCTCGCCGAAGATGGCGGCCCCCACAATCGTACTGGCGGTATAAGCATATCTGTGTGCAGTCCCGACGGCCATATGCTTGGCGGCGCAATAGGCGGTAGGCTTATTGCAGCAAACCCGGTGCAGGTAAACTTTCAACAATTTCATATTTTTTAAATCTCTTTCAATTATGTATAAATCCATATATTGAAATAGAGCTGGCATCTGGTTGATTCGTGTCGAGTTGAATACATTCGACGGGTCAAATCACTCAACTTTAACCCGACTCGTTAATTATCGTGTCGGGTTTGTGTTGATTCTTTTATTATCGTGTTGGATTTGTGTTGTCCTGTATATATAATCGGGCCGAAATTCTTTATTCAAATCTAATTATTTCTTGTCAGATTGTCGTATTATGTTAGGTTTTTTTTTTTTTTTTTTGATAAATTATGTTGAATTATTTAAAATTGAACTTAGTTTTAAATTAATACATAAGCTAGTTACCAAATTAGAATTATTTACATATATAATAAATATATTAATCAATATTAATATATTATAATCGGATTGTTGTGTCTAATTTGAGTCGAGGGCCTCAAGCATAACCCAACTCATTTATTATCGTTTTGGATTCGTGTCAGCTCGTATACATAATTGGGTTGAAATATTTGATCAAAATCCAATTATTTCGAGTTATCATGTCGTGTCAGTTTTTGCCAACTTTATATTGGAGTGTTTCTTCAACCACACTTGTCCGAAACTAACATATAATCGGTCTAATTTAATTTCCCTCTGGCACAAAATAAACGTACGCGCAGGTGGTGGCTTGCAGCTTCGTGTACAACGGCCCAAAGGCAAAGAGCAATGCAGAGTCCGAAACAGCCGACAGAAACTATCTTCTAGAACATTCCGGCGACAAGGGGTCGAACCCTATCGGCGCTCCGGGTCCCGGTCGAAGCCTTGCCTCTGGTTCTGGAACGAGCGTCTGGCCCCTGGGGTCCCGACTGGACGGCAAAAATCCCCAGGCAGATATAGACCTGATGCGCGGATAATCCCGGGTACGTTATACACACACACATGGGCAGGCTATTTTTGTTTATATGGGTTGTTGTAAATGAAGCGTTCCCGTCGTCGTCGTCGTCATCTTTAAACCATCGAATCCCAACTGTCGGATCGTATCTCTCTCTCTATCCCCACCCGAAATGAACACTTGCTCGGTCCCTCAGTCGCTGTCTGCTAACTAACTAGTAGATAGTGAATCATGCGCTAACATATATATATATATGTATGTATGTATCCTGCGTCGAAATTTCATTTCTTTTCCCTTGTAGCGTCGCAAGCGATGCTTAAGAGGGTTTTTATGGTTTTTCGGGGCTGAAAGGATATCTATATCTATTATGTTATTATTATTATTATATATATATATGGGTATTGATCGATCGGTAATTTGTTATTTGTATTAGGTGGTGGTTGTTGTTATTGTGTCGGTATTGTACCGTAGCAGCGGTGAATTGGAGGTGTATTTTTCTTATCGTTTTCTTTTTGTTGTAAAACTGTGTTGTAGCCGGATGGATTTTCGACCGCCTTTGTTGTCGTATTGTTCACTTGACTTGAATTTTTATGCTCGTTTGTTTGTTTTGTTTCTTGTTTGGTTGATAGAATGAAATTTTGTAAGATTCTAACTAAGGTGATTTGGTTCTGTTTTCTTTTGTGGCCTAAAATATGGGATTTTTTATTGAGACTAGACAACATTTTGGGTTGGTTTGTTTATTGTTTATGTAATTTTGTTGTTAGATATGAAAATTTTGTGTTGTTATAGAGAATGTTGTTTTGTGTAGTGTTATTATTAGGTTTTGGGTTGTGCAAAATTGATTTGTTAGGATGGATGATTATGCTATTTATAGTGTATGCGATTATTCACCCGCTAAATTATTCCCTACATCACTTTAAAATGACGTGGGAATGTATTTTTGGTTATTTTTTCGGTAAAAATACAAAAAGTGATTTAGGGTATGTTTCTTTACATGTGTTTGAAAAAAATTTGGTTTGAATTTGGTATTAAAATAATATATTGATATAGTAAAAATATGGGATTTTGGGCAAAAGAAATATATTCTTAATTATTTATTGAAAAAGAAAACAGAAAAAACCGGGTATTTATTTATTTATTTTTATTTTATAGGATGGGAATTTGCTGTTGACGAGACAAGTACATGAGTATTTTAATTTAGTTTTATTTTTGTATTAGGTGAAATGCATTGCACCTTTATGTTTAATAATATAAATAGTTTTAAAATAAATTTAATATATATGATTTTTAAAAATTTTAAATATATATTTAAATAATTTAAAAATTATATCTCATCACATCAATTTAATTTAATATATATGATTTTAAAAAATTATGATATATGTTTAAATATTTTAAAAATTATATCTCATTACATCAATTTCAAACTACGCAGTTTTTAATAAAAATATATTATTTTTTTTTAGTAAATATTATATCAAATAACAAGTATGCATATATATATATATATAAATAAATAAATAAACATGTATTGAACGTACCGTACAAAATGATCACCATCAGCTCATCACAAACACAGCCCCAAAAGCTTTCTGATATCTCTCTGCACCAAAACACACATCAAATTCTTAAAAACAAAATTGCACATCAAACGTTGTTTATGAGGACAGCTTTCATACCTCGATTGTAATAGGCGATGTCGTCGGGTAGTAACGGTCGACAGCCTGCCCATTTTTATCGACTAAAAACTTAGCAAAGTTCCACTGGATATCATCCCCAAAGATTCCCCATTTTCCAGATTTCAGAAACTTGTACAGAGGATCGGCGCCATCGCCGTTCACTTCAATCTAACAAAGACACAGCAGGGCAGCATTAGTTATTGCAGTCCAAATTTTTCGATAGGTTCATTAGTTTGGAGTGGTTTTGGACAAAATTTGTCTGAGCGATTAAAAGTTTGCATGTACTGACGTAAATGAACGTCTTACCTAAAAATTTAAGCTGTTAGGATAAGTATCATTAATTTATTTATCTACAAATGGGAGTTCACCACCAATACGTACCTTACCGAAGATGGGGAAATCTGAGTTGAAACGAGCGCAGACAAATTCGAGGATTTGATCGTTGCTCCCGGGCTCCTCTTCGCCGAATTGATTGCATGGAAATGCAAGAATCTCCAGTCCTAATCAGTAAGAATAGGAACATAAAAATGGTTAATGCCAGGTTAGTAAGGCTCTGTTTAATTTTAGATTTTTTTTTTTTTCAATTTATTTATTATGCAATCTTTGCGATTTCCAATAAAAATATGATATTTCCTCTCACAAGACATTATATTTAAATTACTGTTCAAACCAAAATATAAAACCAAACGCACTTACGAGAGTTTTGGATTGGATTTGCAGAGAAAACTAGACCTTGAGATAGAAGAAATATCAAAAAATGATTCTTGTAGGTGTTTATCTATTATAATTCAAATGCATAGTTAGCGTGTGTTTTTTTGTTTTTGGTTTTTTAATTTTTAATTTTGTTTTTAATAGTGATTTGGATGTAATACTCCCTCCGTTCCATAACAAAGTATCTATTTTTCTATTTTAGTTTGTCCCATAATAAAGTATCTATTTTCTAACAAGTGTACTATCTACCTAACATTACAAATACTCTTACAACTTACAATATATTACACAAATGTCATTACCTTTATATCACACATACTAATAAGGTTATTTTAGTCATTTCTACTTTATTCCTACTATATCCCAATATAATACTAATATTTCTAAAATTACATGCAAAAAGCAAATGAATACTTCTTTTTGAGACGGAAAGAGTAGTTTTTTTAGAAGAAATATATCTATATTGTTAGTGGATGGACGGAGCACTAAAATACACATAGTGCCAAAACAAGTATGAAAGCACAAATAATACAATATTTACTTTGAGTTCTTTTTAAATTTTTATAATTTTTTTTCACATTTTTCACTATGTAATTTCACAATTTTCGATAAAAAACATATTAATTTTCATACAAAACTTCGCCTCGACCAACTATTTAACCCAAAAACCAAAGTACAAACCCAAGGTAAACTTAGCCTAGTGTTTGGTTTTGTGTTCTTTTCATCCCATTGTACTCCAATTCTAAGGTCTATTTGCTATAGTTTTTACACTGTTTGCTACATTAAAAAAACAAAAAATGTTTTTATTATTACCAAAACAATCTAAAACACATGAATACAAAAGAATGCATCATCAGTAATGTCTATATAACATAATTCACGGAAAAAAAAAAAAAGAAAGTAAATATGTGCAAAGAAGATACCTTGATTTCTGTACTTTTCATATAGCTGATTGAGCTCAATGTAATTTGAATTGGTCATACCACTGCAACAATTGATTCAAATAAATGTTAATCTATCTGCCATAAAAAAACTTCTTATTTGTATATCACTAAAAAAATAAATCCATTTCCTTTATTAACAAAAAATTATACCATATTTACCATGTTAACTATATTTTCAACCTTTCTTATTATAAAAATTTAAAATAAAACATCACATTAGAATTCGTATTCAAACCATCTAAATATCACATAAATATCACATTAAACATCTAAATATTTAGAATTCGTACTCAAACCATCTAAATATCACATAAATATCACATTAAACATCTAAATATTTTTTTATTCAAAATACTACCTAAATATAAAATATATATATTCATAGGCATGGATAGAAAATGTAACTGAATAAGAAGGGAAATGAAGCATCAATGCAACCCTGATGAACCTGAGTGAATCCTTTCTCCATACTCATACAATTCATATGGAATACAATAAAAATACCTTCACAAATATGACCATGAAGGGCGTGTTTGTTTAGGGGTTTGGATTTTTATTTGAAATTTGAATAGTAAAAATTTTGAATTTCAATAATTGTATATATTATGTGATACTATTATAAAAAGGTGTCTGATGTGATATTTTAAATGCAATTTCGAATCATTTATGAGTAAAAACAAAGCTTCCATATGGCTAATGAGCACTCTTTTCTCAGAAAGTAGAAGTTTAAGTTACAACTAATGCAGGATATCATCAACCAACACTTGAAAAACGCAGAATCAAGTAAAACAAATACCATTTCGAGGCTACATTGACAATCAGCAACACTTTGCCTGTATACAGCCTTAGATCCACATCACTTCCTTTCGCATCCTGAAGCAATTTAAATGAGAGATTATTCTGCTAAGCATCGACTAATCTGGAACAAGGAGGAACGAGTTTAACCATGGCTATATACAGAAACCTTTTGCATATTATTGGGGGAAATTAATTGCGATTTAAGCGTGACATAACAGTTTTCTATCAGCAATTACTTCAAATACCGATCGAATAAGCGCTAATGAACCCTAAATTGTAAACCACGGAGAAAACAGATTGCGCGCCGCAGGCGATGGAGAGAGCATCTAATTAGCGAATTTGTAGAGAAGATTTCCCAAATTGAAGTCGAAATCGAATCGCAAGGGACTTGGAATGAAAATCTGATTACGGATGCAAAAGGATGAACTAACCTTGACTGTAAAATCGAACACCGATTGCGATGGTGGCGCTGCCATAGCCATATCTGAATTTCCTTCGAACCCAATCGAGAGCTAGAAGTTCAAGTCAAAGCAAAATGAAAATTCAGTTGAATACAGTAATAAAACTAATTTTGAATTTTAGTTACATTTTCTAAAATATACAATTAATTAAAAAAATATATTTAGTAAATTATATATTAATTTTTTATATTTTATTAAGTATTAATGAACAAAATATTTCTGTTGTAAATATTTATGAAATAATTAATAATTTTTTATTTCATAATCTTTTTGTTTAAATAGATTACTTAAGATATTTTAATTTATTTCGTTTATATAACAATTGCATAATTAAAATCATGTATTTGCAATTAATTTCGGAGGGAAAAATGATTTGTTTTTCTTGTAAAAAGTTTTCAAACACATTTTTTTTTTTAAAAAAAATTACATATACATATATTATACATAGTTATTATTTTTATACTCTTTTCGTCCAACTAGAAAATATATGTATTTTTATTTTTAGACGTCCAATTACAAAATAAATATTTCATTAAATACTTTTTTTTCCACAAATACTCCTGTTTTACATCACCTCATTACTTTTACACCAAAAAGTAAGGACAAAAATATCATTACACTACTTTTAACTCTTTACTATAATTAAAATATTATTATTTCTTAACACCGACGCCAAAAAGTAATTATATACTTTATGTGTGGACGGAGGAAATATTATTTACACAATTTTTTATACCTTACATAATTATTATTATTATTTTTTGTTTCAAACTAAAAACACAAAACAAACATACCCAAAGCATTTTGTGTATCTTCTAATTTTACACAAACAAATTTAAGATAATAAATAAAACAAAAGTGTTCTGTGCAATTATATAAATTTTATAAGAGATTTTTTTAGTTAGAAATATATATATTTTATTAAAAATAATATTGTTTCGTTCTACATATTATATTACAATTTATATTTTTATATATCTCACATTTTATATCATTATCTTTAAAGAAAATAGAATTACACATTTTAATCATACTTTAAATTTTATAATTTATATATTTTTAAAATTGTAATTAGTTGTTTAATTTATAATTATTTGCATTAAATTGTAGTTAATTTTATTAATATGTTTTAAATTTTTTATTAATCATGTTCTTGCTAAATTTTCAAATGTGTCTATAATATTATACTCCCTCCGTCCCACATGCCATGTCCACGTTGCCATTTCTATACGTTCCCACGTTCTATATCACTTTCCTATTACACATTTTAATCTCATTTTAAACTTTTTCATTTTATTTTTTTTTTAATTTTAATTAAACTAATTAGTTATCTTAATTTTAACTTATAATTATTTATATTATAGAATAATTATTTTCACTGATACATTAAATACTGTGTCTACAGTGTATCAAATCCGTATGTGAAAAGGAGGGAGTATTTAAGACGAAAAAGTATAAATCCAAAATATTTTATATATAAAAAACTCTGGGTTTACAAATAAAAAGAGACTGATAGAGAGAAGAAAGTGAGTAAAAATTAGCAGCTTCTCTTATTGAATTTTATTTTACAATTTTACCCTAGACCATCTTAGATTTGGCCGGAAATTTTTCGAATATCGACTGCGGAACTATAATAGAAGGCCATCTATGTATATATTTGAAAAAAAAGCCTCGAAAGGGTCATTTATACATGATCTACCGTAGCTCCAAACCTCAAGCTTTCACTGATCAAATAGCATAACTTCTTGTGCCCGAGACAAGTTCATCGAGCGACAAAACTACCACACATAATCAACTAATATTCAATAAAAATGTTCGATTATTAACTCATGTAAAACCGAGTATCATAATCCATTGTAGAGGCTAAAACACAACCAAACACAATTTTGTAAATAAAAGCTCATCGAGCGATAAGTTATCACACATCATTAATTAATATCCAATAAAATTGTTTGATAGACTCGTGTAAAACCGAGTATCATAATCCATCGAAAAAAGACAACCAAACACGTTGTGTAATGCTTATTGTAAATGATAAACTTCACCGCAATGAATAAAACCTTATTCGATGATAAAATTTACTTTTCTTTTGTGTCGTTCAACTTACGCCGATATGATAGATCAAGCTTTTTCGAGGAGCTTCTTTATGTCCTTCTGCAAAAAAATGGAAGTTTTTATGTAATTAGTTATTATGGTCTACATGGCACGAGAAATAAACAAGTCACTTGGTTTTTATTTTTATTTTTTATTTACCTCGATGCTCATCGGGGAGGTGGTTGGGGCATAACGATTGACAACATGGCCATCTTTGTCGACAAGAAATTTGGTGAAGTTCCACTTAATCCCGTCCCCTAAAAACCCGCCTTTGGCTGACTTGAGGTACTTGTATAGAGGATCGGCGTTGGAGCCGTTCACATCGATCTAAATTAATAAAATACAAATCCCAAATGAGTCGAGAATACGCATCATTGCAAATAATATAAGAAATAATAGAACCGTTTACAAGTACACAAAATTTGAAATTACCATTGTATTCAAATTTCCCAATTCATTCTATCACATTTTCTCAAATTTCTACTATTTATATAAAAAAATTTCTCCCAAAACATCAAATCAAACATCTATTTTTCATTTTTTATATGATACTAAAAGTCAATTTTACATCAAAATATAACATCAACAACTATTTATATCACATCATATAACTATTTCAATTCAAAAAATTTATTTTACAATTATATAATCTATTGAAATAATATTAAATATTATAATCTCATTCTTTGGAATAAACACACCGATAACGACGCGGAATGAGACAATGGATATGGAGTGTAAAAAACACAACATAAATTATTGCACACATGCATATTCGGCTCAGTTTCGCATCATTAGAACTTATTCAATAAAATTTAAACTACATACCTTGCCAAACACAGGATACTCGGCCTTAAAACGGGTGCAAGCGAATTGCTGAATCTCTTCATTAGTTCCCGGTTCTTGGGATCCAAACTGATTGCAAGGAAATGCCAGTATCTCCAAACCTGAGAAATACAGCAGAGATATATTCGAATTACGATTATACTCTATGGTTTAAAGCCTTCGAAAATCAACACATAGTTTCTGATGAGGGTTCCGATTGTTGCAGCTGCAAAATCTGATGAATGCACAGTTAGGATTTTGAAATGTGGTTCGAACCAGAAGAAGAAACAAAATTAGACAATAGATGTAAATGAAATAAAACAAGAACTCAAAAGTTTAAAGAAACTAAACCTTGATCCTTATATTTTTGGTACAAGTCAGTCAGCTGGGAGTAATTTGAATTGGTCAGGCCGCTGTAACAAACAGTACGGTACAATTAATCGATACACAGTCGAAGAGAAATGATAATTGACTCGATAGATTAGAAGTTTAAAGATGTTTCAATGATAGAACATTGTAAAGTGAAGATCAACAGAAAAGGCAGAAAGGGCATCGAAACACACAATTGTCCGAAATTTCGTATTTGCATACTCATTACTTATTTATATGCAAATCTAAACATATGCCTTTTCAAAAACGACGGCCCGGTGTAGAAAATATGATCAGTAAAACTATAAATGCATAGATAATTTAACTATGTATAGCATCAAAAGCTTATTACTGTAAATAATATGCCTATTCAACGATCTTTTACGGAGCACAATCTTAAACATAAGATTCAAAACAGGATTCAACAGAAACACACCATTCTGTTATATTTCCATGCTTTGTAAGATTACAATATTTGATCGAACGTGGAACATAAAATATTAAATAAAAGACACAATTATACCATTGTGATGCCACGTTGACGATTAGCAGAACTTTCCCCTTGTACTTGCTCAACTCAACATCATTTCCGCTAGCATCCTGCATTTGCCAGTTCACAAATCAATATGATCATGCATTGGAAAAGCCGGGTATAAACAAGCAGGTTTGAATGAGAATTGAAAACTGTAGCAAGGAAAAGAGTTTTCAGAACAAACTACAGCAATGTTGGAATTGATATTACACAAAAATGTAGATTTTAAATAAAACTAAGCAACATTTCAACCATATCTAAAAACTTGCACATATCCCATTTCCTAGCAACACTGAATTTTTTAATACAATAGACTCAACTCCATAGATGATTGATTTGGATTCTAAGGTATGAAACAAACAGAATGCTGCTTCCAGAAAAGGTGCTCTTTCTACTAATTTGAATCGAAGCGAAAATTCCACACTCCAAGTATCCATTTCTATCTCAAAATTGTTGAACAGAATTGGGCTCTATCAATATATACAATTTAATTAATATATATATATATATCCAAGTGTGGTTAATATATTTATACATTGTTCAACAGATTATTAATTTTTTGTCTTCAATTCAATTCCCAACATAATTCACATATTTACACTACTGAAACAACCCAGAAGAATCTAAATATAAATTCTCCACTGAAAAAACGCTTAAGCTTGCGGTGTGCTCTTTCACAAATTCCCAAAAACACATTTTTCAAAAAAATTAATATATTACATTACCTAAAAAAAAAAAAAAAAACACTTCAAACAATTTTACTAAACAAAGTGTTTTTTTTTTGTGTTTACGATCAAAAAATATTTTTACTATTTAATCTTTTATATCTTTTCCATTAACATGGCATGAATCATTCTTTTTGCATACAAAACTTCTCGTCAAACAACTATTCACTTTAAAAATAAAAATCATAACACAAAATCACAAAAAGCAAATCCTCAGTTGGATGTAAATTTATTAAATTCAAACTTCCAAGCTAAACCAGTTCAAATTCAAAGTTTTAACAAACGACAATCAATTCACCCAACCTAAAACTCCCCCAAACCACCATACACAAACACATTCGAAATCGTTCAACAGGAATCAACAAATTCCAACTACTAATAACAGGAAGAATCGAGAAATGAACAGTTATTAACAAGAAGAGCAAGAGTACAATACCTTAACGGTGAATTCATGGACAGATTGAGGCTTTTCTGAACCACTGGCCATCGTATGATCGAATCTCTCAACCGTAAACGACGCCGAGTGTCTCGAACTAATACAAGGCGTAGAGCACAAAAACGCCGTTCGAATCGGCTGAGAAACGGAGGAAATCGGCGAAACGAGCGCAGAATATGTACGCCGTTCCCTCAGAATCGAAGAAATCCGCGCAGAATAAATCAGATTTCGTCTTATTGTGAGACAGCGAAATGGGAAAGAAGTCATGGGGGAGAGACAGGATATATATATATATATATATATGTACGTCAAATTTTGGGTTTAAAGAGGGGAATTGCAATAATTTGCGATTTCCGTAGAAAGGAAGGAATACACGTGAAGGTCCAGTTTACACGTGTCATCATCTTACGCGTGCCACGTGGATCAAGGGTAACGTAGTAAGTGCTTCTTTGGTCTTGCAACTATTGTTTGTCTTCCTTTTCTTATACAAGATCTTTTGAGCTTGTTTTACAACAGTGGATGTATTTTACTATTTCCACTCTGAATTTCTAGAAAAAAATATATATTTTTTTTTATAAAATATCTCATCAAATATTATTTTAATATCAAATTCATATTAAAATTTTATTAAATTTATCAAAAAAAAACATAATTGGAGTAATTTTTATTTTTATATATATAAATGTTAAATTAAAATATTTTTTAAATCAAAATATAAATTATAAATTAGCATTCAAATTCAAACCTGAATTTTCTTTTTCATTTTTATTTTAATAGTGGTTGACTATTTATGTCACAAATAATTGTGACTTACCTTGTCGGATCTTTGCAAGTTTATCTAAAATGTGTGCGTGTGTTTTTTTTTTTTTGATGCGAATTCCTATATTATAAAATAAATTAATAATAAAAATAATTGTATTTGTTTGTCAAGGTAAAAGATGACATGGTAAATTGGGGTGAATCCGTGATCAATGTTTGCTTTTATATTTATTTATGGAAAAAATGAATAATAAAAATTAAATGAAAAATCTATATAAATTTTTGGTGTGTTTGTTTTTATTTTTTTATTTGAATAGTAATTATAATATAGTAATTTGTAAGTAAAAATAATATTCTCTCCCTCCGTATAAAAAGAGTTGTCTTGCTTTTTATTTTCGTCTGTTCTAAAACAATGGTCATGTTTTCTTATTTAGTAATCTTAGGTCCCGTTTGGATTGGCTTCTAACAGGAGCTTTTGGTGCACCTGTTTCCATTGACTTCTGTCCAAAAGTAGAAGCAGCTTCTGAAGTTGAAAAGTGCTTTTTTTAGAAGCACATTAGGGGTAACTTCTGAAATAAGCAGTAGCACTTTTAATTTAAAATTATTGTTTTATCCTTAATAATAATAATAATAATAATAATAATAATAATAATAAATACAATACGATAATATAATATAATATAAAAATAAATAACTTATATATTATATTTTAATAAAAATTAAAAAATATAATAATTATTATTGTTAATTTATGTATTATATTTGGATTAAATTTTAAAATTTAAACAGGAGTATATAAACTTTTTAATTATACTTAAATTACTAAATATAATTTATAAAATTTTAAAATAAATTATAAAATACAAATTATTTAATATTATATTGTAATTTTATGTTTAATCTATATATTATCCTTATATTACAATTTTAAAATATAAATAATCAAAATTTAAAACATTTAATTTTGTTCATTTTGATTTGAAATTTATGAGAATTTTTCTTATTAATTATTAAAAATTATAAAAATATTATAAAATATTATTTTTCGTATATTAACTATTGTTTTAATATATATAAATAAATTAATAACCTTTATTTTTTCTATTTGATTTAGTTTTAAAAATTTATATATTTTACAAATAAAATAATTTATATGTAATAATTAATAATAATAATTATTTTAAATTTATAAAAATAAAGATATAATTTAATAAATTAAATATATTAAAAATAATTAATAAATACTGCTATAAAAATATATTTATATGTATAAAATATATAATTAAATTTTAAGGGTAAATAAAGAATAACTAAAATTAAAATGAAATTAAAAAATAGATGAACTTTTCAGAAATTAGTTTTTTTGTCCAAAAAGCTCTTTAAAAAGTTAATTTACCAAACACCTAAATTAGCTTTTTGACCGGTCAAACAGTTAAAAGTTATTCAATAAGCTAAAAAACTTTTCAAAAAACTATTTCTCAAACACTCTCTTAGTATTTTACATTCTAATTTATACAAACTTTTATTAAAATACTACTCCCTCCGTCCCAAATACCGTGCAATATTTCCTTTTTGGTATGTCCCAAACACCCTGCAATATTTTCAAAATATGAAATAATTAATTATACTTAATCTCTACCCAACACTTTATCACATCCCATCACCCAAATAAAAAATAAAATAAAATATACACCCCTCTCTATCACATCACCTAATTTCTAAATTATCCTACTTAATACTACCCACCTAAAAACTCGTATCCAATACAAATATTGCACCTTTTTGGGACGGATGAAGTATTATTTTGTAATTTCGATCACAATTGTCGACAAGACATCTTTTATAGAACGGAGAAAGTATTGTATTTTATAAAGAATTGTGAAAATTTCATAGTAAAATTTTAAAGATAATTACCAATTAACACATAAATTTTACCTTTTGTTTAAGGTGTGTTTGTTTGGGAGATTGGATTGGATTTATACTATTCATCCAATTTTTTACCTCCAAAAACATCAAATCAAACACCTATTTTTTATTTTTTTATACTATTATACTAAAAATCAATTTTACATTCAAAACATCACATCAACACCTATTTATATCACATCATACAACTATTCAAATTCAAAATTTTTACTATTCAAATCCCAATTCAAAATCCAAATCTTCAGACAAAAAGACACCCAAATTGTGTGTTCTTTTGGAGTAAGTTTATTTTTATTTATTTAAAAATAATATTTTGTATGATAAAATAAATAAAATATTGATTGATTATTGCATTAAAATTTCATAATTATCGTATTTAACGTGCATTCCTTTTAAAAGAACTGCAATAATTATGTTAGCAAAAACAAAAAATTACACTCTCCCTATTTTAGAAAATTAAATTATTATGCATATTTAAAATTAAACCCTCCGCATTTGAGAAATTTAATTTTAGTAGGAATAATTTGCATTATTATTAATTGACATTCCTAATATGCAATAATTAAGTTGGCAAGTCATAATTTGATATCAATAACACGACGGCGATTAGGTGTGAATTGTCAACATTTTATTTAATACTCCGGCGTCCCAAATAAAAAGGGTTCTTCCGAATTTTGAAGTATATTGCTCCGTAATATGGGTGTATTACCGTAGTCACGGGAATTTAGGTAAAATAAAATTAGCAAGTAATTAAGAAGTGTATTAGTAAAAATGATTATTATTTAGTAAAAATAATTATAGAATAAAATTAAGATAAATAAATAATTTAATTAAAATTAAAAAAATTATAAAATTTAAAATGCGATTAAAGTACATAATTATATTTCCAAAAATAGAAATGACAAATTACGTGGGACGGACGAAAGTAGAAAATAGGGATAAATTATGTGGGACGGAGAGAGTAAAAAATAATACTCCTTCTGTCTCAAATAAGGCTCAATATTTGCTTTTGGCACGAATTTTTAGATGGACAGTATTAAGTAGGATAATTTAGAAATTATGTGATGTGATTGAGAGAAATATATATATATATATTTTATTTGGATGATGTGAGGGGATAAAGTGTGGGGTAAAAATTAAGTATAATTAATTATTTCATATTTTGGAAATGTTGCATGGTGTTTGAGACATACCAAAAAGGAAATGTTGCAGAATGTTTGGGAGGAATGGAGTAATATTTTTTTATATTTTTGTCGACTTTATATATAAAATAATTTTATGTGTAATGTTATATTCCCTCTGTCCCATTGAAAGGTTACCATTTTTCATTTTCGTCCGTCCCAAAACAAGGTTACAATTTTCTAGTTTAGTAATTGTACTACATACTTAACATAATAAATACCCTTTCAACTTACAATATATTACACAAATGCCATTATTTTTATATTACACCATACTAATATGGGTATTTTTGTCTTTTTTACTACAATCTAATATAATACTAATATTCAAAAATCAACGTGCAACAAGCAAATGCCACCCTTCCAACGGGACAGAGGGAATATTTGTATTTAAGTAAAAATTAAGAGTATTTTAATACTCCATTCCGTCTCTAAGGGTCACATTTACCTTTTGCGTAATTATACTTAATATTAAAAATATTCTTATATTTGTATAATTTTTTGTACAAATGCCATTCTATTTGTATTATAAAACATTAATGAAATGATTTTTACAATTTTTTCTTGATTTGTATTACGTTTTGATATAATAATTAATATTCAAATATCAACACGCAAAAAATAAATGAAACTCTTAGAGTCGAACGGAAGTAGTATTAATTTATGATTACTTTTTTAAAAATAAAAAAAAATACTTTGAATTAAGACAAACAAAAATAGTAAAAAATTGTAACGGAGAGAGTGAAAATGATCCTTTCATTAATGAGATGAATTTAATGGTCTAAATTTTATAAATACAATTTAGGTCATGTTCGACCCTCAAACTTTATTTATTCAATTGTAATCCAATAAATACAGTTGCTAAAATATTTTTACTCTACCCACAACTCTATTTTTACTTAAAAAATATATTTTTTAAATATTCTTTAAAATATTTTTACTTCACCCACAACTATATTTTTATTTAAAAAGAATATTCTTTAAATATTATTTTTTATATACTCATTCCGTCTAAATTCAAAGTCGATATGTATTTATAAACTCAACAACTTCAAGATCATTTTTACATTATTAGGTCATTCTTATGGGATAATATTTTTTGTATTTATTACTCATTGAATAGCCATCCTTCATCTAGACTTACCAAAACAATTCAAACCGCTCGTTTGAATAACGATTTCGGTTATAGTTTATAAATCTTCGATTTCGATTTACAAACTACCGGCTACGGTTTGAACCGCTGATTTATATATATTTATTTCAATACTATTTTTCTTTTTCCTTTTTTTTAATTTAAATTTTATTTAAAAATAATTAATTTCAATATTGATTTTATTTAAATATATAGTTATTATTTATTTATTGTAAAAAAATTATATAAATAATAATTAATTAAATTTATATAATATAAAAATAATTAAATTAGTAAATAATTAAATTAAATTTTGAATTAAAACAAATAAAAATAAATTATAAAAAGTATTGATAATTATATAATAAAAAATATACAAAATATAAATATAAAAAATAATACTATTATTTACTATTAATTTATATCATTAATAATTATTTACTATTATAAGAAAAATAATCATAAACATACTATTATTATTATTATTATAAATACAGAATTTGCCCTAATATGTACTATTATTTCTTTTTTTTCTTCTTCTCTTTTCCAAACTGGTTCTGCTGCATGAAAAAAAAAAAAAAAAAAGGCCAAACCGCCGGTTCCAACCGAAAACCGGCGGTTTGAACCGGCGCGGGTCGAAACCGAACGGACAAGTCTACCTTCACCTTCGTTTGCTCCGCCGCCGCCGCTTTCCTGCTTATTTTGTTCACCGGAATATATGGAATACGAATTGGAAGCTAGAAGAATCTGTAATGGCATCACTGTCTTCCAATTTCATCCAATTGCATAGATAATATCGAAGATGTTACTGCCGCTGATTCCGATTTTGAATTCACTTCCATGGCGCTTGCAAAACCGACCCCAATTTCATCCTCGTGTTGTTAATTCAACTGTTTCTTCCAGCCCCAGCTCCAAACGAAGGTGATGATACCCAACCCTAATTTTATAGGTTTCGCTGTTCCTGATGGAACTTTCGACTTTTTTATTTTTTGGCGAACGCCAGATGCGATTTGTACGATTTGCACAAGGAGCTCGTTCCGTACGCCGAAGCCTGGGCATGGCAGAATGCTATTGTCGAAGAGAAGAAAAAACTAAATAAAAGCGATGAAGATTTTGCCGATTCTCTGATAATTCTTCAACACCATCCTGTTTACACTTTGGGCGCCGGAAGTTCTGAAGAATTTCTGAATTTCGATGCGAAGAGTTCTCCGTTTGATCTGTACCGTACTGAACGCGGCGGTGAAGTTACCTATCATGGCCCTGGTCAGGTATATTCAATCACCAGTGATAGATACAGTAGGTGTTTACTTCATTGATGTATGCTCTAATTGTGAGGATCGATCCAATTAACCTTAATTGAAGCTTAGGTTTTGCAATGAGAAGCATTTTTGTGATGATGAAGTGATATCCGAATTGGATTTTGATACTGAATTGGCAATTAGAAGTAGTTTTCCATGAATTGGAATTTGTTACATTTTTTATGATGATTTGATATTCAAATTGGATTTTGTTACTGATTTAGAAATGAGAAGCAACTTTCCCTGATAAATCGATTTTCGGATTGGAATTCGTTACATTTTCGATGATGAAATGATTTTCAAACTGGATTTTGTTACTGAATTAGCTATGAGAAGCAACTTTCCATAATGAATTCATTTTCAAATTAGAATTCATTACATTTTCAATGATGAATTGATATTCAAACTGGATTTTGTTACTGAATTAGCTATGAGAGCAACTTTCCATGATGAATACAATTTCAAATTAGAATTCGCTACATTTCCAATGATGAATTGATATTCAAACTGGATTTTGTTATTGAATTAGCAGTGATATGCAATTTTTCATGATGGATCGATTTTCGAACTGGAATTCATTACATTTCAATGATGAATGGATGTTCGAATTGGATTTTTAACTGAATTGGCAATAGGAGCATTTCTTGATGAAGAAATGGATATTTTGAATTGTATTTGGCAATAGAAGCAATTTTCAATGATAAATGGATACTCAAATTGGAATTTGTTCCTGACTTGGCAATAGAAGCATTTCTTGATGATGAATGGATATATGAGTTGGTTTTGGCTATAGAAGCAAATTCCGAGATGAATGGATGTTCGAATTAAATTTTAGTACTAACTTGGTATAATTGTTTGTTGTTTTGTAGCTAGTCCTGTATCCTATTCTCAACCTTAGGTATTACAAGATGGATCTGCATTGGTACCTGAGAGCACTCGAGGAGGTCATCATTCGTGCCTTGTCCTTCGAATTTGGGATTGAAGCTTCTCGTATTAACGGCTTGACTGGCGTTTGGGTTGGTATGTCTTGCATCCCAATAAAGCTATTTGCTTGAATTCGATGAATTTATGTTAGATTTCTTTGGTTTATTCAAAAGTATCGGCACCCATTTTCATAGAAGTTTCGTAAGTTTTGGAGTTTTAAAAAAGTTAGAAAATTGTTTATAACTCCTTTGTGGTTTCGAAATTTAGCTTAAATATCCCTTTTACTTTAAAAGTTGCATGACGTTCCCTTATACTTTAAAAAACATTGCATGAAACCCCTCTGTGGTTTCGAAATTTAGCGTGGATCTTCACTTTACTTTAAAAGTTCCTTGGCGATTTCTTATACTTTTAAAAATATTGTATGAAAACCCCGCCGTACAAAAAATATAGATAGAAAATTATCTTCTAATCGCACAATGCAGGTTTCATAACGGTGGGATTTCATTTAATGTTTTTTAAAGTATAAGGGAGTGTCATGTAAAAACATTATGTGAATAATAAAAAGTTAAAGTATTATATATAATATTTTGTGATAGAAAAAAAGGTATTTAACTCGATGTTTCTTGTAAAAAAGTTACATGAATAGTATCAAAAGTTCTAAAAGTATATGTGTCTTGTGGTAGACATTGACAATTTTTCATTGAACTTTTTTCTTTTTGGTTTCAAATTGAAAGACATCGAATTTTTTTTATCGGTTTGAAACTGGAGATATGGATTGCTTCTTCCTCAATAAATCATAGTATTTTTCTTTTTTAATTTTCTTTGAATCGATGTTTTTAGTTTATATTATGTTGTTGAATCCCTTCAGGCGAGCAGAAATTGGCGGCCGTTGGTATAAAAGTATCTCAGTGGATAACTTACCACGGCTTGGCATTGAATGTGACCACAGATACATCACCATTTCGGGATATAGTTCCATGTGGGATTCGGGATCGCCAAGTTGGCACCGTAAAGGGCCTTTTGAAAGAAAACTTCGGGCTCCCAGAAGATATACTTGCCATTAATGATAACCAATTGCTCGAGATTACTTATAAGTCACTAATTGATGCATTTTGTGAAGTTTTCCAGGTTGAGCTTCAAATGAAAAATTTGAAGAACTCTTTAGTTGCCGCGCCAATGAGCTAACGGAAGAGATCCACGACCGCAGCTTCAAAGGGTTGCATACGGTAAGTTGGTAATATAGTGTGTTTATCAATGTTTTTCGAAGTATTTTGGAGTTTTGGATTGTTTTGAGAGTAGTAGAAAGGTGATAGAAAATGGATTTGATGCGAGTTTTGGATATTATATTTATAAGGAAAAATAAGTGTTGGTTATTACCTCTCCGTCCCATATCTATCTATCTGTTTATTTTTTTGCATAAAGTTTTAGAAATATTAGTATTATATAGAAATGTAGTAAATATAAATGTAAAAAAGACTAAACCAACCTTATTAGTATTGTAAGATATAAAGTAATGACATTTGTATAATATATGATATATTGGAAGAATATTTGTAATGTTAAGTAAATAGTACATTTATTTTAAAAAAAATTGATACTTTGTTATGGGATGGACCAAAATGAAAAAATTGATAGTTAGTTAAGGAACGGAGGGAGTATATATTTTCGAACTATTTTGGAGTTTTGGATTGTATCAAGAGTAGTAGTAAGTTCATAGAAAATAGATTTGATGCTATTGTTTTGGATATACTTCTTACTTCCAAGAAGTAAATATCCATTTGTTTTTTGCACTTAATTTTAGAAATATTAATATTATATTGAGATATAGTAGGAATAAAGTAGAAATGACTAAAATAACTTTATTAGTACGTGTGATATAAAAGGTAATGACATTTGTGTAATATATGGTAAGTTGTAAGGGTATTTGTAATGTTAGGTAGATATTACTATTATTAAAAAAAAATAATAATACTTTGTTATGGGACGGACTAAAATGGAAAAATGGAGTTCGGTTGTGATTATTTTAGAAAGAAAACTGTCAGATGAATAATACCAAAATAAAATAAAATTGAAAGATAAGTGATTTGGGAAATTGTTGATGAATAAATTTTCCTTAATGGATTCTCTTCATGTATCGTGTTTGAGCTTTGTTGAATAATTCTTTTATGTAATATAAATATATTAAAACGATGTCGAATGATTCAAATTTAGAACATCGTAGAATGATGTTATGGTAAAATAATTACTATTAGATGCATCGTGTTTGAACGTCCATCATTAGTTTGATTTTATTTTATTTTATTTTATTTTATTTAAGAGAATAGTCATTAGCTTGACTTTTTTTTGTTTCAGAAATCATTTGGGATTTTGTATTACATTAAAAAAAATTATTTGTTAGTGAAATGTGAAAGATGTTTTGATATTTTTGTCCCTTGAATTTACGTAAAAAATAATTGTATATTTAATAATATGTTTATAATTTAGGTAAAAAATTAAAAGTATTTTGTTATTGATGTATAATTATTTTTATTAAAATAAAAAATAAATACTTTGGAATGAGATTTACAAAAATGATAATTTAAGACTTTTAAGTTGAAAGAGAAAGTATTACTCCACCTGTCCATAAAGGATAAATTATATAACATCCTTTTGTGTTTTTAGTAAAAATGTACAAAACACTCTATATTTTATTTATTGCATGAAACTTTCTTGTGTTAATGTAAAGTTTGTATGAAACACCCTCTTTATCCAAAATTGATGTTCGTGTCTACATAAAGACCTAAATTACGCAAATTTTATATAAATAAAAAATGTAAAATATGTTAAATAATTTTTTTGAATAAAATAAATAAATAAATAATTAATTAATTCTTCATTTTATACTTTTTAATGACACATTGTTATCTGATTTTTACAAAAATTGTAAAAATAAATTATTGGTCAATTATTTATTTATTTATTTTATTAAAAAATTATTTAAAATATTTTTTATTTTTTATTTTTATAAAACTTGCATAATTTAGGTCTTTATTTAGTTTCTAACATCAATTTTGAACAATAAGGGTGTTTCGTGGAAAATTTACATTAACTAACACAAGGGATTTCATGCAACAAATAAAATACAGTGTATTTTATGCATTTTCACTAAAATACAAGTGAATGTTATATAATTTACCCAAAAATAAATGAAACTTCAAATTCGGGACGAATGTAGTATTTAAAGTCCAAGGAAGAAAAATTCAAATCCCAACATTGACGTGGAAAGGACACGTTAAGTCATCACCATTAAAACTGGACTTTTCAAACTGTCTGCTCGCATCTTCTTCTTCTTCTTGCAGTCTCTCTATCTCCTATAAATATAGATACAGATATATATATATATATCATCATCGAAGTAGAGAGAGAGAGAGAGAGAGAGAGAGAGAGAGAGAGAGAGAGAGGGAGAGGGAGAGAGAGAGAGAGAGAGAGAGAGAGAGAGAGAGAGGGAGAGGGAGAGGGAGAGGGAGAGGGAGAGAGAGAGAGAGAGGGGGGGAGAGGGGGAGAGAGAGAGAGAATGGGGGATGAAGTGAAATTGTATGTGGATCACATGTCACAACCTTCACGAGCACTAATCATCTTCTGCAAGTAAGTTAAGTTGCTTTTATGGGTGTGTTTGTTTGGGGGTTTGGATTTTGGATTGGGATTTGAATAGTAAAAATTTTGAATTTGAATAGTTGTATGATGTGATATAAATAAGTGTTGATGTGATATTTTGAATGTAAAATTGATTTTTAGTATAATATAAAAAATAAAAAATAGGTGTTTGATTTGATGTTTTTGGGGGGAAAAAATTGGATGAATAGTGTAAATCCTCCAAAGTCCTTCAAACAAACACACCCATATGTATCTATGTATTATTGAAGTTGCGTAGGTAACTACGGACACTTTTGGAGTTTATAATTAAAAAATAATACTACTTTCGTCTCGTTTTAGAGTTCATTTGCTTTCGCGTATCGATTTTCGAATATTAATTATTATATCAAAATATAGTACAAATTAAAAAAAAATTACAAAAATATTTTTATTAGTACCTTGTAATACTAATAGAATGATATTTATACAAAAAAAAAAATTATACAAATATAAAGATATTTTTAATGTTAAGTACAATGACGCAAAAGGTAAATGTGACCTTAGAGGCGGACGGAGGGAGTAATATTTTATTGATTAGTAAAAGTGGGTAAAAATATTTGAGAATTTAATATTATTATATTCTCTCAATCCCATATTTATGTATCCGTTTACTTTTTGCATGAAATTTTAGAAATATTAGTAATATTGAAATATAGTAGGAATGAAGTAGAAACGACTAAAATAACCTTATTAGTATTATGTGATATAAAAGTAACGATATTTGTGTAATATATTATAAGTTGTAAATGTATTTCTAATGTTGGATAAATAGAACAATTATTAAAAAATAAAATGAATATTTTTTCACGGGACGACCCAAAATTAAAAAAAAAAAAAAAATTTATTAAAGGACGGGCGAAGTATTTGAAAAAATAAATTAATATTTAATTAATATTTTTTATTTAATAATTATTTATAATAAATATCATTAAGTTTATTATAATTTTTATTTATTTTTTAAATTATTAACTAAAATATTAAAAATAATTTTACCTATCTTTTTATTTTTTTTAATCCTCGTGGAGAGACATATGAGTTGAATATGATAGAAGGAGAGAGTAATTTATGTAGTACTATATGAATTTTATATAATATTCTTACGTAAGTGAATTAGATTTGTGAAATAATAATTTTATATGACATTTTATTTTATTTTAAAAAATATATTATATTTTTATTAAAAATTATTGAAACTTAAATAAATAACAACCTAAACTATTAGAACCATTTTATTGTAAGTTTAGAATGTAGTTGCTTCGTTTAGACAAACAAATTTTGAAAATTTTGAAGTTTTCTAAATTTAAAAATAATAAAAATTAATATTTTATACAGTGTATAATAAAGATATAATTAATGAAAATAATTATAGTATAATAAAAATAATTTTAAATTAAAATTAAGATAAATAATTATTCTAATTAAAATTAAAAAATATATAAATTAAAAATTTTTGAAATCTATATGTATCTGATTACGTCTACATCATACATAGAGTGCCCAAGCGCTAAAAATAAAATTAAAAAGTGTATAGTTGTTTAAAAAAAAATAATAGAATAAGTAAGACAGATATAAATAGAAAGGTGGACGCATTATAGAGTTTAATAATTTTGGAAATTTTTATAAATAGTACTCTCTCTGTCTCATATTTATATATCTATTTTTTTTAAAGAGTTTTAGAAATATTAGTATTATATTGAGATAAAGTATAATATATTGTAAATTGAAAGAGTATTTATAATGTTAAGTAAATAGTACAATTACTAAAAAATGAAATGGATACTATGTTACGGGACGAAAAAAAAAAAAAAAAATTGTTAAAGAAACTGATGATGTAAAAAATTAAATATTTGATATAATATTTAAAATAAATAAATAAATAAATAAATATCTAATATAGCATTAAAAAGTATATATTGTGTTAATTAATTGAAGGGCAAATGGAATAGAGTTTGAGGAGGTCAAAATTGAGATTGTAAAGATGCAGCATCGCTCCCCTCATTTTGCAGGTTCATTATAAAAATATTTTTATTTTTTTATTTAATTTTATTTTAATAATAAATATTTAATTAATTTTATTTTGATCCAGAAATTAATCCCATGAGAAAAGTTCCAGCACTTGTTCACGGTGATTTCAAGCTCTTTGAAAGGTGCCATTATCTTAACTTTTATATATATATATATATATATATATTCATTTACTTTTGTTACATAAATTTGAAAATATTAATATATATCGTACAATTCATTTTAATTTAAATAATATTTTAATATAATTTTAATTAAGATATAAAAATCTTTTAAAAATAAATTAATTTTGGTCATAATATAAATAAAACGTATCAATTTTGGTCTAAATATAAAAAATAATTAATTTTAGTTCTATTATAAACAATTTTAAACAATTTTGGTTCTATCGTTTAAAAAAACAAACAAACATTGCTGACGTGAACGTAATGAAGTTGACGTGATAACTGATTTTGAATTATAATGTTATTAATTGATGAGTTTTTATATAAAGATCAAAATTGATATATTTTAATTATATTGGGACCAAATATATTTTTTTCTGGGTATTTTATTATTTGTGCGAAGATTATTGTTTATTATATTAGAAAATAAATTTATTAATGATTAATGTTTATGAAACTTAAACACGCTTTTGGTGTTTCGTTTAGATTAAGGCGTTGTTTCCTTATAAGTTATAACCAAACGCGTGTTTTATAACGGATGTATGTCGTGTTTGGCTGGCAGTCACGCTATTCTTATTTACCTCGCATCTACCTTCGGCGTTGCTGATCACTGGTATACACTTATTCCCTCTTTTCATTTTTTGGCTTTATCTTTTTATCAAACACGTCCCTGACAGCTGTATATATATATATATATATATTGTGCGCGTGCTTTTCCAGGTATCCAGCTGACATTCGAAAGAGAGCCAAAATTCACGCAATCCTCGACTGGCACCACGCAAATCTCCGCCGTGGCTCAGGTAACTACGCAATTGAGCGGATAACGGATTCTATTTCGAATTTTGTAGAAATGTTTGCAGTTTCAATTCGCTAGCTTCTGTTAATAGCTGCGTGACGGATTACGAACAGTGTTCGAATGATTTTTGTTGAAATGCCGGCCTCTGTTAATTAAAATTTCGAATTCTAATTCAAGTTCTAATTCAAATTTCGGAGAAATATGTGCAGTTTCAATTTACTTACTGCAGTTAATGGCTGCGTGACGGATTATTAACATTGGTACGAATGATTTTTGTAAAAATGCCTGCCTCTGTTAATTCAAAATTCGAATTCTAAAGTTCTAATTCAAATTTCAGAGAAATGTGTGCAGTACAGTTTCAATTTGCTAGCTGCAGTTAATTGCTGCATGACGGATTACAAACAGCGTTAATCGAACGATTTTTGTTAATGCCTGCGTCTGTTAATCCGAATTCGAATTCTAATTCAAATTTCTGAGAAATGTTTGCAGCTTCAATTTCCTAGCTGCAGTTAAATGCTGCGTACAGTGTTAATCGAACGATTTTTGTTGAAAATCAAATTTCAGAGAAGTGTCTGCAGTTTCAATTTCCTAGCTGTTAGTTAATTGCTGCGTGGCGGATTTACAAACACTGTTAGTGTTAATCGAACGATTTTTGTTGAAATGCTTGCCTCTAGTCGGACAGCTCTTCTACACGAGCCTCGCCGTGGCGTACGGCCTGCCGCTCGATCTGAAAGCCGCCGCCAAAAGCGAGGAGCTCCTGTCGGCGTCTCTCGCCTTCATCGAGAAGCATTTGCTCGAGGAGGACAAGCCTTTTTTGGCGGGAAATTCTCAGCCGTCGATCGCGGATCTGTCCCTGGCCTGCGAGATTATGCAGCTTGAGGTATTTTTTTTTTAGTAAATTTATTAATATTAAATATATTTACAAACAATTTTAAGGACCCATCTTTAAGTGAAAATGAATAAAACTCTTAGCATTTTATTTATAAGGTAAATTCTTTTATATTAATATAAAATTGGTATAGAACACGTATATTTTATACAAATAAAAAAATAAATATATTCGATATTTATTTTTTAATATAATAAATAAGTAAATAATCAATTAATTTACTATTTTATAATTTTTTAAGATAAATTCTGATTTTTAAAAAATTATAAAAATGAATTATTGATCAGTTATTTATTTATTTATTTATTTTATTAAAAAAAATCATCTAAAATATTTTACCTCTTTTGATTGTATAAAAATTGCATAATTTAGGTCTGTATTTACAATCAAATATCAATTTCGGACGAAGAAAGTGTTATTTGCAAACTATACATTAATACAAAGATGTTTCACGTAATAAATAAAATATATTGTGTTTTGTGCATTTTTATTAGGTGTTATATAACTTACCATATTTCTAATAAACTTCATGATTTCTTTAAAAACAAGTCTAAAATTTCAAATATTTTTAAAATTTTCATCGAAAGTTTTGTAAATTTATATGAAACCAAAATTTGATACCTTGTTAGAATTAAACGGTATTTCTTGCAACTCAGGCCGGAGACGATGAGGATCTTGAACGGATTTTGAGGCCGCATAAGAAGATACTCAAATGGTTGGAGGATACCAAGAATGAAATAGCACCTTACTTTGAACAAGTTCACGATTCAATCATTCCTATAACCAAAGAGATGAACAAACACCTCAGATCACAAGGTATGGCTAAACTCAAATTAAATACCGAAAATTGAAGCAAAAGCATGCATGCATGAACACACCGCGTAGAATAATTGAAATCGAAATTTGTGTCGTGTTTAAATTTTTTGAATGAATTATAATAATGATATGTTGGTGTTCTATGAATATAATGTTGTTGATAGTTATAAGATATAAAAGAATATATAGTTGGTTGCCATATATTATAGCATCCAAATTTAAAGGTGTTCAATTTACTTGAGAATATGATCGGGCAATAAATTTGTAGCCTTTCTTCATTTTATATTCTTTTATTAATGAGTCGTGTTTTAATTCTATAAACATAATTGTTGTTACACATTCAAGATCAATATGCCATATATATACAAGAAACACACGAATTAAACCAAATGACTTAAAGAATCTTTTATTAAACGAAAGCATATGTTCGGACTCAGGTTATCCAATCTAAAATTGATCCTAACACCCACTGTAATGCACAATAACAACTCAAACACAACCGACATCCACGGAAACGCAACAAACATGCGAACCAGACCACGATCTAACGAAAACACAAACGATTTAAGCCTAACCCTTCGCAACAGACAATTTAATCAATACACTGTAAATGAATGCTCGAAACCGTAAATCGAACCGAGGAACAGCCTCAGCACAGGCTGCTTATCAAGGAGCTCAGTCGAACCAGTCGAATCGCCGGTAAGATCACCGGAGAGGACTCAAGGAAGATCGCAGGAAACCGTCGTCGCGATTAGGGCTTCTAGAGAGAAGATTTGAGAGTTGGGGAGAAAGAATACGCAAGAGTGAATGAGAGTCTGGGTGTCTCCCTCAAACCGGGCCCCCTGCCCCTTTATATATAAGCCACTGAACCGGACCGGGTTCGATTCAGCTGTGGACCGCCGGTTTCACAGAAGACCGGATCTGGTTCGGGTTACAGGATCCGGGTTTCGGGTTGTGCGGGTTTGTGCATTACCGGCCTCACTGGTCATTGGCAAAAAAAAAAAAAAAAACTCCACAATAATTAATCCAATATATAACTAACATATAGCTAGTACAACATATGATGAGTTATAATACTCTATCCGTCCGCCTCAAATGGTCACATTTACTTCTTACATTATTGTACTTAACATTAAAAATATTTTTAATTTGTATAATTTTTTGTACAAATGTCATTCTATTAATATTATAAAGACACTAATAGAAGTACTTTTACAATATTTTCTTAATCTGTAGCACATTTTGATATAATAATTAATATTCAAAAATCAACATGCAAAACATAAATGAGACCCTTAGAGCCGGACGGAGGTAGTATAATATACATTTCTCATAAATATGCTGATTAATCTATAAATATATGTTGATTACCTATATAGTATGGTGATCTGGTCAAATCAACACCATATTGACTTGACCGGATGAACAATTGATCGTTAACTATTTGAGCTACAAATTCCAATATATTGTTGTAGCTTCATTTATTATACTCGTTTCGTTCACGAAAAGTGTCCATGTGAGCTGCACATGAATTTTAATGAATATAATATTATATTTGTTGATTATAACATAAAATAAGAGTATTTTGAAATTCGAAAAGTACATATTCATTCAATATATAAATAAAAGTGGTTATTGTATTAACTTGAACAAATTATCATGAGTTTAAGTAGAGCCGACAAAAATTGACCCGACACGAAATAGTTGGATTTGAATCAAAGATTTCAACCCGATTATGTATACGGGTTGACACAAACCCGACACGATAATAAACGGGTCGGGTTAGGGTTGAGACTCTCAACTCGAACTCGACACGACAACCCAATTATAATATATTAATATTGATTAATAGATTTATTATATATATAAAATAATCATAATTTAATAATTTTTTTATAAATTAATTTAAACTAAGTTCAATTTTAAACAATTCAACTTAATTTACGCTTAAACCAATAAAAATTAACATAACATGACAACAAAACAAAAAATTATTTAATTTGAATCAACAAATTAGACTTAATTATGTATACGGGTCAACACGAGTCAACCCGAACCCGACACGATAATAAACGGGTTAACACGAACTCGACACAATAATAAACGGGTCAGATTAGGATTAAGTAATTTAACCCGTTTAAAGTATTCAACCCGACACAAATTGACCCATTGCCGACTTTAATTTTAAATATATATATTTTTATTTCACGTAGTTGTCATATTAGATAGAAATATATATATATATTGTATAAGTATATTTCTATAATATATATAAAAAATATACTATGTATTATATTTATATTATTATATTAATATAAATTATAAATTATCCGCTTTTATATAATAGATCGTACTTTTATACTTAAACAATTCAACACAAACTATTCATAAAAGTCGACAATGAAGCGCGTAATACCATCAACCACACTTTCACCGGTCGCGATCGCACAAAAACACCATCGACAAATTTTCTGTTCTTACATCAAACGCCATTTACAAGATCTCGAGAGTTGCCTCTGCATTCCCAAGAGATCGCCGAGATTCACAAAGAAAAATAACAAGTACCAAAAAAAAAAAAAAACCATTAGCGCGCCTACACGTTCCCGGCTCGCTACGAGGACAGCGCGAGCTCAGCCCAAGCCAAAGACGACGACTTAATCTCGGCAGCTACCGACGTCTCGATCCCACATTCGAGCATGTCGCACATATTGCTCACCGACATCCTCGTGCTCGTGCTCGGATGTAGGCATAGATTCACGACATCGCATATCAACTTCAGGTCTTCGTATCTGAAGTGCTTCAGATCGGGATCCACCACGTACGACAAAACTTCCGGCACCTCCAAGAATTCCTTCGCCTGCGCCATTTAGACTATGAAAATTAGAAGAAAAAAAAATCGATGTCTATATATATATACACATATAAGCGAAATTATTTATAACACACTTATAGTTTGAAAAGTCGGTCACAATTTTTCCTATGATTTAGAAACTGAATGAAACTTCATCATATTTTAAAAAATATTGTAAAGAATCCCTTAGAAATGAAGCGAAACTCTTTCGTATTTCCAAAATATTGCATATAAACTCCTAAAAAAGATTTTGTGCAATATTTTTTAAAACACAAGGGAGTTTCGTGTGTGTGTGTATATATATATACATATAAGCAAAATTATTTAAAACCCACTTATAGTTTGGAAATCGTGCACAATTTCCCCCGTGATTTAGATACCGCATAAAACTCGTCATATTCTAGAAAATATTGCACAGAATCCCTTAAAAATTACGCAAAACTCCTCTGAATTTCCAAAATATTGCACATAAACTCCTAAAAAGAGATTTTGTGCAATATTTTCTAAAATTCGAAGGAGTTTCGTATATATATACATATAAGCAAAATTATTTATAACACACTTGTAGTTTGAAAAGTCGTGCAAAATTTCCCCCGTGATTTAGAAATTGCATAAAGCTTCATCATATTAAAAAATATTGCACAGAATCCATTGAAAATTACGCGAAACTCCTCCGTATCTCCAAAATATTGCACATAAACCCATAAAAAGAAATTTTGTGCAATATTTTCTATAACACGAAAGAGTTTCATATCAAATCACAGGTAAACTATAAGCAATTTTGCCTATATGTGTATGTATATATGTATGTATATATATATATATATTTATGGCGATCGATTGTACCCATTCGACCAAGCATCCTTTATTCTTGCAAAACGGAGGTCTTCCGCTGACGATTTCGAGCAAGAGAATCCCAAAAGCGTACGTGTTTCCCTGTATGTCAAGACATCGCCCTTCCAAGTGTTTCGGAAGTACGCAGTCGGCACCTTCATTGCTTACGGTGCCCGAGCTTTTCTCCGACCGGGAAATGATCGTCTTCCAGCATTCGAAATCGACAAGCTGCGCCAGAGAGCAGAAAGTAATCAATCGTCGAATAAAATTCACGCAACAAACAGATCTTCGTAACGAACCTTCGGAGAAAAATCGTCGGTTAAGTAAACAGAACTAGAGTTCAGTTCGGATATCGTAAACGGGGGCTCGAGTTCCGTGTGAAGGTACTTTAATCCCCGAGCAATCCCGACAATAATTTTCATTCGCCGTGTCCAAGAGAATTGGCATCCTTCGCCATCTGTACAAGAGTTCATCTTAAAAGAGATTAGATATGTATCTCCGAGTTCGAAAAAAAACGGACGGGATTATATCACGACAATAAGGCTGGGAATTCGCAGCATACAGTGAAGGTGCTCGTAGAGCGTCCCGTTCGACGCATACTCAAAAACCAACATCCTCGTGAACGGAATGCTCTCTCGGCAATACCCGAGCAATCTTCCGACGTTCACGTGATCTAATCTCGCCAAATCTGCTACCTAGACAACAGTGAATTAAAAAAATACGACGCATAATGCTCGATTCGAGCAAAACGAGCTACCAACTTAAAAACGAAATAATCAACTACTACAATAGACACATTTTACGATTTTGGATGTAAAAAAAAACAATTTTCTCCCGAACTCATAAATAAACAATCAAGTAGAATCGGATCAAAATTAATCAAATATCACAAATAATATGAATATTTAAAGCATGCGATTTCTGACTATCAATATAATAGACACATTTCACGATTTAGGATGTAAAATAACAATACACATGTAATCTTACTCGGTAAGTCTAAACCTACAATATTCATAAAATATCGTATCATTTCACGTAAAAATACCAAAGTACCACTTTCAAGATACATTCTTCACTAGATGTGAATCCTTACCGTCTAAGGGTATTTTAGTCTTTACACATTTACGCTACGATAAATGCATCTATTCATCGATAGAAGAAGTACAATTTTACATCTATTTCGACATTTTCACAACACCATATTACTTAACTTCGTGATCTAAAAAATTTAAGCTATCGAAAAAATCGAATACCTCTTTTTGAAAATAAAGCTCGAGGTATGGAGTCCAGTTCTCTTCTTTGATGCAAAGTGATATCACGGCAATCTCGGGTCCGCCTTTTAGGGTACCTTTATAAACCAAGCTGTCGGGAGAGGATCCGATGATGTTGCTGAAATCTTCACACGCAACTTCGAGTTCTTCCCGATCGTATCTCACGACGTCCTTCAGCACTTCCGAGTCTGCGAAATGCTTTCGGTTAGTCGGAAACGGTAAACATTTAAAAGGAAATCAAATGATTGTCTCGGCACTAACCGACTCGAATTGCCATATAGTCCTTCGAGCTCGAGGACTTCTTCCACGGGATAATGATCGAAGGATTTCTCTTCCACTTCTTTGAAGCCGTCAAGAGTGCAACGAGAAAGACCACCCCGACGAGAAGTCCCGTCGTAATTTCTAAGGCCAAAAGCCACGGGGGTTTATTAGAATTGGCCGGATTCCGCGAAACGTCGTCGGCGGGCATGTGTTTTGCGTTGATCTCGGAGTGAGCTTTCGCGGACGGCACAGAAACTGCAAATGAAATTCCGTGATTACCAAATCGAATTGATCACAATAATGGGAATGAGGAGATGAACCTACCGCATTGCGTAGCTGAACGCTGCCGAACGTCTTTTTCTCGAAGGCAATTGCCCTGAAAACTCGATCTTTATACCGAAATCAAAGTTAATTATATTAACGAAAACTATAGCCGAAAAATTAACGAATGCGAAGAAAGTACGTAAAATAATACCTCGGAAGATAGCCCAAGCACTTGGGAATGCTTCCGACCAAAAAGTTGAATGAGAAATCGGCAACTTTTAGTTGGGAAAGTCGACAAATGCCCATGAGATTTCCGGTCGAAGAATACCTAATGCAGTTTAGTAGGAAGAGACCTTAGAACAAAGAATCCATTATGTTACAAGTCGACGACAAATATATATATATATATATATACCCTTCAAACTTTTAGGACAACATTACAAATGAGAATCGAACCCGACAAAAACATTAAGATTTCATACTCAAGCCAATTCAAATAATTGGGTAAAGAAACAGTTCATCGAAACTTCGATTTCACCCTTTGCCAAATCACAGCAAATTTTAGTCGGTAACGAAAAAAGTTATAGTGGGATCAAAGCTCAAGTTAAAATTAACGGCGTGAAAGGCAATCAAGTTCAGCTAAATCATATTACCGACGGAAAAAAAAAAAAAGCGTCAATTTCAAGTAATTCCTCACATTCCATCCATGTTCGAAGGATAATCCGAGCTGTTCGCAGCAGGCATCATCCCAATCAGCCTATTCCTGTCGAGACGAAGCTCCTGAAGGCTTTTCAAATTCCCGAGCTCGGACGGCAACCTTCCAGTCAACCCATTCGATTCAAGATTACTGCACACAGTTTCAATATATAAGAATTACGACAAAGATTGAACACAAAAGAACTTTAAAAATAGCGCAAGAATATCGGCTACTAACATTTTCACAATGCTGCTCAAGTTCCCGATCTCGGGAGGGATCGGTCCCGTCAGCTGGTTTGAGCTCAAATCCAATACTCTAAGGCTTTTCAACGTCCCAATTTCCTTCGGGATTGTGCCTATCAACAAATTACCGTGCAAAATCCTGCCCGTCCACCCGTATTTATACACAATCAGGCTATGTAATAAACTTCATTTGAAACCAAATTGTCGACAAATTCAAAAACACTCACAATTGTTGTAAGTAATCATACACAATCGGCCTACATAACAAACTACATTTGAAAGAAAATCTTCGACAAATCCAAATCCTAAAACACTCACAATTCTTGCAAGTATCATACATAATAAACTACATTCGAAACCAAATCTTCGACAAATCCAAATTGAAAAACACTCACAATTCTTGCAAGTAAGCATAATACACAATCATCTCTACATAATAAACTACATTCGAAATCAAATCCTCGACAAATCCAAATCCAAAAACACTCATAATTCTTGCAACTAATCAATCATACACAATCAGCCTACACAATGAACTACATTCAAAACCAAATTTGTCGACGGAATCCCAAAACACTCACAATTCTTGCAAGTAATCATTTACAATCTGCCCTACACAATAAACTACATTCGAAACTCATAGGAGAAACCAAAAAAACTCACAATTCTTGCAAATTTGAGAGACGGCTCAGCTCCGGCGCAATGAAACCCTTCAAAGACTCCCCGGAAATGTTCCTGCAAAGATTCAATTCCCAAATTCATCAACAGCTGCTCCATGGTAATGATTAGCCACAGAATCAACAGATAGTCTTACATCTTTACAACATAATCTCCATTTACCGAACAGCCAATTCCAGACCATCCACAAGGCTCTGGATCGACAGGATCCCAATCGGACAGCACCATTGTCGGATCTTCGATAATAGCTCGTTTGAATGAAATCAAAGCATTAACTGCAAGAAAAATGAACAGAAATCAAGCCACATTGTAGTCGATTTCGAGGAGTGATTCGAGAATAGAAAATCTGGTGAATCGGTAGAACATACTTTCGTCTCTGGGGAAGAGACTGCAGTCGACGAGAAGAAGCCCTAAATTGAGCAGAAGAAGTAGAAAATAAGAAGCCACAGATCTCATGTTTCTTCAACACTCGATCAAATGATTAAAATCCCATCGACGAATAAAGCAGTTTCGAAGAAACGAAGAATGAATAAATTAAAGAATCTTAACCACCAAGCCAAAATTGGAGAGCTAAAACGAGCAGCAAAAAAAATCCCCAAATACCGAAAGTTCAAATGTCGTTTACCCTAAACAGAAACTTAAAAAAAAAAAAAAAAAAAAAAAAAATCGAAACGAAGAACAGTAGCGAGCTCAAACTGCAAATCTGGAAGAATTCCGAAGATAGCGCAGAATGAGGAATCCTTTGAGAGAGAGAGTAACAGAAGAAGAAGAAGAAGAACAGCAAAATGAGGATAGAATTGAAATGGGGGAAAGCAACCAATTTCTTCACGAACACCAGCTGCACTCCACGCGATAAAGGGCGTTCGATTGGAATGTTTCGTTGGCTTGTACTGGCTGGCGGTTTCGCGTCGAATAAAAAAATTTCAACTCGGCATTGCAGTGGGTGAATCTTGATTCTTGCACCAGGGAAGAAAATTTTCGAATTGGGGGTTTAGTGGCGTAACAGCTTATGCTTAAGCTAATGATTGTAATCATGGCGGATTTATGGTTTTTGAGAGATCCCGGGACTCTCTCTAGAAATAGATCTACACCGTCTGTCTGTTGGTCGGGAGGGAGTAGATGCGTCTGGCGTTTGAGTCCCGGACCTTCTGTATTAACTTGCTCTGCAACTATTAAATTTACGCTGAATTTAACCACTTTATTTATAAACTGAAATTTAAACAATTAAGCGTGTTTCGCTGCAAGATTTAATTTTGGATTTTGGTTTTAAATTTTCGCTTCATCCCATAATTAAATATATATATATTTTTTTTACAGGGTTAAAATAACCTTATTAATATATATGATATAAAGGTAATGATATTTGTGTAATATATCGTAAGTTCCAAGGGTATTTGTAATGTTAAGTAGATAATGCAGTTATTAAAAAAAAAATAGATACTATGAGACGAACTAAAATGAAAAAATAATACTTTATTATAAAAAGGAAAAATATCAACAATTTTAAATTAAAATCATTGTTTCATATCATATAAATATATATTAAAATAATATTTTGAATGAAAATTTAATTTTAATGTAATATAATAAATAAAAAATAATTTTTAAATTTAATATTTTTTAAATAAATAAATTATAATTAAATTGAAAAACAAATCACACACAATCATTTCAAAAGTTTTCTAAATTTAAAATTAAAATATAAGCCAGTATTTATGCTTTTCCATTTTTAACCCGCCGTAGAGGCAATTATAGGTGTTTCATCAGGGGCAAATATGGAATTTCATGTGAGGGACGAAGGTTCCACGAAGCATGGCATGACGCCGGGCCGCCGGTAGTGATCATATCGTGCGCTCTTATTGTTGGCGCACGTTAGCAGCGCCGCGCGGGAATAGTGTGGTTGTGCGCTGTCTCGCGATATATGAATCTCCGTCAAAATCTCGCGATATGAGAAAATTAGGAATAGTGAAAAGGTGAAGACAAAATGGCAGCTGCACAGCTGTTAAACACATACTTAAAATTAATTGCCTATAAATTTAGCTTAATTAATTGAGATCTCACTTTAATTACTCTTATTAGGCCATTTAATCACTTTATTAGAGTATGTTTTTTGGATAATAAATAATTAATAATATATTAGTAAAAATAATTATTATATATTAAAATAATTATATATTTTAATTAAAATTAAGAAATTATAAATTATAAAATGTAAATTGTAAAATGTGATTAATACGTATAATTATTTTTCAATAAATAAAAAAGACAAATTATGTAGGACGAAAGAGAAAAAATAGACATTTTATGTAGTACCCGATAGAGTACTCTTTATGTCCTGATTCGACGTAATTTATATATATATAATTTTCGTTTCCTCACTCAAGTATTTACTTTATATATAAATATCAAAATATTTTAAATTTTTACAAAAATATTAAAATTATCTTACACGATTTTTATTAATTAATAAAATATTTTCTTAATTTACTATAAAAAAAAAAAAAAACAAGTCAGTATTTTGAAATAAGACATAGAGGGTGTAAATTTGAAAAGTTTTGAAATTTTAAAAAATTTAGTGATAATAAAAAATTAAATATTTGATATGTTATGTTGTAAGATGATTTAATGTGATTTTTTTAAATATATATTATTAATTAATAATGTAAAATTTTTACAAATATTTTTGCAAATAGAGCTATAAAAGATAAATACTGCCTCCGTCCCATTGGAAGGGTGTCATTTGTTTTTTGCACGTAAATTTTTTAATATTAGTATTATATTGAATTGTAGTAAAAAAGACAAAAATACCCATATTAGTATGGTGTAATATAAAAGTAATGACATTTGTGTAATATAATACAAGTTGAAAGGGTATTTATTATGTTAGGTAGGTAATACAATTATTAAATTAGGAAATGATAATTTGAGATAGACGAAAATAGAAAATGTTAAAAAAAAATAAAGCATTTGTCTGTTTGTTTGCATTTTTAATATTTTCACTATACAATCAATAATAAAAACTACTCTTATTTATTTTTATTTTCTATTTTATTTTCGTATTATTATCAATTTTTTTCTAATTCTTTCAAATATTCTTTCAAATATCATATTCAGCTGTCCCTGAATTTTGTCTCATTTATGTCACATATTCTGTGTGTTTGTTTGTGCTTTGAATATATTAAAAATTAAAATAAAATTTAGAGAAATATACATCAAATCTCTAATGTTTTAAGTAAAATTTTTTAAATAAAAATAAGTGTTAACTTTTATATAACAGACAAATTAAAATTTTTATTTTATCAATATAATTAAATAATAAAATATTGCTATATATTAGTGTGTATATATTCACTTTTTACTAACGAAGTAAATGAGAAAAGGTCAAAAGATTGTCAAAAAGTGTGGGTCAGCCATAAAGCTTGTTTGATTTTATTTTCTAATAATAATAATAATAATACTTCATTCGTCCCACATACCATGTCCATGTTGCCGTTTCGTACCACATTCCATCTCACTTTTTTTTTTTTGAAAAATAATTACACACTTTAATCTCATTTTAATTTTTTTTAATTAAATTTTTTAATTTTAATTAAACTAATTAGTTATCTTAATTTTAATATATTTTTAATTATCTACTAATTACACCCCTTAAAATACCGTATCTACAGTATAGCAGACACCATATGTGAAATAGAAGGAGTAATAAATAATGATAGATATGACAAACATATCCTGACATGTGATAACATATTTATACAATATATTTTCAAATATTTTCTATAAATAAATTATTTGTGTAAATATTTTCTTCTTTTATAATTTCAAATTTACATCATCACTATTTAATTTATGGGACTTTCATAAAAATATATTTGCAGCATACATAAAAATATCTTCTTTTTATTATTATTATTATTTTCATCTCACATAATTTATTTATTTATTTTAAATTATAGATGTGTGTTATTTAGGTTGTAATTAAATATATATTTTTACGAGTTTCGACATAATTTATTAATAATTACTCTCTTAAAAATATTATGTCAAATACCTAATTTTTATATAAAATATCATACTAAAATTTTATTTGTTACATATACGAAATATTACAATTAATATATATTTATACCATATAAAATAATCATTTTTTACTATTATAATAAATCTTCGATGCCCTAAAAACTTTCGAAACTTTTATCTAACATATTTATTTAATTATTTATTTATTTACATGCAATTAAGGACAAGTTGTACAAAAGCACAGTTGTTGTGCATGAACAATGAGTATTAAAAAAAATATAAAAAGTCAAAATTGATTGAATAAGAAATAGTCAACATATACTTTCACATGACAAAATTTAATAATAATCAATTATTAAATAAATAAATAAACATATAGAATATATTATTATTATTATTATTATTATTATTATTATTATTACAATCAATTTAAATTCACAGTCAAATAAACTAATTAGATACATACTTTTTTTTTTTCCACCAACAATACACATTTTACTAAATAGAAAAAAATTATTATTTAATATTTTATCCGTCCAATTTCTATTTTTCTAAAGTATATTTATACAATTTTTTAGGTGATTGTCTTTTTGTTATGGACAAATTTGCCCTTAAATGTATGGTAGAGATTAAATGTAATAAATGAATTAAGAAGTAAAAATGTAAAATTTGTGATTAAAAAAGAAATAAAACAATAGTTGTTGGACGTCTCAAATAGAAAAGTAGGACATTAGTTTGTGGACGGAGGGAGTATAAGTATTATAATATTAATAATATTTTAATTTATTATTTGAACATATGCATTTGAAAGAAAGAAAGAAATGCATCTCATATTCTTTGTTCCTTTCACTCTTAAATTTTATTTATATTAATTTATTATATTAGGTTTTTATAAAAATATATATTATTTTTTTAATTCAAAATTTACATTAATAAACTATGTTATTTTAAAATATATAAATTATATAAATTAAATGTAATTTTTTTAAATATTACAAATATTAATTTAACATATAGTTTATAAGAATTCACTCTTTATATATAAAAAAAAAAAAAAAATCATCTCACAAAATATAAAGTCAGACTATTTTAAATAAAAATACAAATACAAAACAAAAAAAAAAATCATACTTTATTCCTCCCTTAACAATCTATTAATTTTTTCATTTTCGTCCGTTTCATAACAAAGTATTCGTTTGCTTTTTTTAGTAACTGTACTATCTACCTAACATTACAAATATTTTTCCAATTTATAATATATTACACAAATGTCATTACTTTTATGTCATACAATACTAATAAGGACAATTTAGTCATTTTTACTTTTATTTCTACTATATTTCAATATAATACTAATATTTATAAAACTACGTGAAAAAAATAAATGAATATATAAATATGGAACGGAGGGAGTAAACCATAACACACATCATGTATTAGGGTTTGTTTGGTTTGGATGTGAAATTAAGATGATTATTTAAATTTTTTGTTTAAATAATATTTGGATGTGATATTTTATTAAAAAATAATATATTTTATTAAAAATAAATAAATAGTAGTTTTATTATTATTATTATTATTATTATTATTATTATTATTATTGGTTTGGCCATATTTAAAATTTAAAAATAGGAACTAGAGACAATTTTTAAAATTAGTGGAGTGGTTGGTATGCTGTCCTTTCATCATAATTAAACCTGAATTAACCATACAAATTTAAATATGTTCAAAATATAAAAATTAGGCCGTGTCTATATCAAGTTGGAAGTTTTTTTTTTTTTTTTTTTTTGTCAAAAAATTTTGAAAATATTTAATAATTAAATAAAATAATAATTTTTTAATATAATATAAATATGTATTAAATATAATATCGGTTTGTTCACTTATTATTTTCAAATGAATTGATTTTTTGTGTGTGATATAAGAAATTGTATCGGTAATAAAAAAAAATAATACTGTATTTTATATTGAATGATTGAT